GGGGTGACGTTGTGTCATCTCTGTTAATTGAGGTTTGCTGCTTAAAATGAGTAGGTTTGCCTTCGGGTTTGGGACTTTGGTCCCTGAAGCTGCATGGAGGAGCTGGGGGGAGGAACGGCGACACGAGGGGGAAAATGCAGCCCAAGCATAAATATATGTAAGTCCTGCGGTCTCTCCCGTCTTCCTGGTCAGCCTAGGTGTGCGGGGCAAGATCTCTGGAGGCAGAATGGCAAAACCAGGAGCCTCTTCCTGCCCTCTGGCACTCTTACTAGTCAAGCCACCTGCACTGATGGAGAGGGAATTCTTTTTTTTTGGCCCTCGCCAAACCTTGCTCTTCCCACAGTTTATCACGTTATTTTTTTTCCCCATGCTCTGCACATCCCAGGCCACACTCGTGAATGGGAAATGACCATGTGGCTGAACAATTCCAATGGCCTCAGGGTTAAAAAGCTGGGGGGTGAAACTAGTTGTGAAGTGGAAAATGAGGTGACTGGGGGCAGAGAGTTGATTAATAGTGTGGGGTTTCCACACTGACTTTTGACCATCACCCATACTGCTGACCCTCTTGGTGTTGATGCAGTGACATGGGAGGAAATCTCTCTCCCTTCATGTGTTACATCCATCTATCACGTTTCTACTGATTCCTTTTGTAGTAAGATGGTAGCTGAAAGTTAGACCAGTATTCAGCTCCAGTGTTCAGGCAGGGTCTGGTGCATTTTACTGGCAGGTGCTAAGAACTGCACTCCTGTGCTGACTGAATCCCCTATAACAGTCTAGGTAAACTGATTCCTGAGCTGAGGAGACACTCATATTTGAAATATGGAAATACTGTTTCACTTGTCTGCATTGTTTGCACTGAATGAACAAAGCTGCAAACACTTTACTTGCATTTATATCTGCACCTGAAGGTCTTCAGGTTGATTAATTGCTTTTTATTCTCAGAAGGCTTTTCAGGTGGAAATATGCGAAGTCTCTGAAGTGTTTTGAGTTCTAGTCTGGATCCACCAACGTCTGGGACATCAGCTGACTCTGGTCTAAAACCAAAAAAAGCCCATGACATTCTGGTATAAATTTTAGCTTCATCAGAATTGCAGCTGGATACGGGCACTCCAAGTAAATATATTCATATTTATTTTGGATATGGCATTTAGTGTCAGAACTGTCTCCGATGTTGATCAAAACTTACAGATATAGTCAAAACTAGAAGTCTCATGTCTGCATTTAGTAGTTGTTTCAGTCATTTTTTTCCCCCATGAAGTTCTAAGGACTTTGTAGCTCCCATTATCTTCACTGGAAGTTGTTTGATACTTAACACTGAAAATCAAGCTGCTCTTTAAGAAGCATCTGTATGCATTTAAGAATGAAGTTTTAAAAATCTCAGCTTGTTTGAATAAAGTGGCTGCCTCCTATTTTCTAAGTTCCTGAAGTAAGAATACTGTACCTGAAAGTATCTGGTTCCCAACTTTTTCATATGCCAAAGGGAAAAAAGAACCAGTTTTATATAACCATATACATATGGTTTATATAACATATAAATTCTTTATCTGATATGAAAAGTACCAACGTCTGGGGGATGAATCAAAGAATTTAGTGGATTAAGACGGTTAAGAAGTACAAAAAAATGGCATACGAAATGGCAGGTCCAGTAGCAAGGATTTAAAGTCAGTCTGTCAAAGTAAATTTGATAATATGATTCATAAAGTACAGATGAACTGCTTATGTTTAGGTGAATGGGGGAGAAGGAATGATGCATTTACCAGTAAATGAGAATTCAGAATAAATTTGAAGTTGTAAATAAAGTTGTAATTTAGGGGTAAATGTGAGACGCTGTGATACAATATCTTTCTCTGAAAAAGGGGAAGGTTTTTCCTAGAGAGAGGAAAAGCAGTAATTCTGATCTCTGGCCTTCAGAAATCATTTGATACAATGACACATGGGGAAGTTATTACCTTAAGTGGGGGAAATAAGGATTGATAGAAGAATGATAAGATAGACAAAGAAATGACAAAAGAGAATGTGACAACATTGTGCTGAAGGGGGGGGCTGTTAGAAGGTAGGTATTTTACTGGAAGAGTTGACTGACCCAGGGGATTAGTAAGGATATGATAAACTCTAATGACACAAAGCAAAATCGCACATTAGAAGTAGTAATAAAGTGGGCACAAAACCTGGGAGAGCACTACTTAGAAACAGCAGAGGAGGAAAAGATCTGGATATACTAATCAACCATAGGGTAACCATGGGCCTGTTAAATTTTGCAATGGACTGTAGTACAGAGATCCTTGATCTTGTGGGGATCTGGCACAGACCTGTGCTTCATTAATCTGTTCCAGTATCATTGTAATAGGCCCCCTGCACTCCCACATCTGGCATTTGCAAAAGCAAGGCCAGCTGAGATTCCTCTGCTCCAGTTGTGTTGGCTTGTCTGTGAATGTTGACCACCAGTGTAATGTGGTTGTAAAAAAGGCAAATGCGATCAGGTGAGGTATTCCCTAGGAGAGTGGAAAGTACCAAATGCCTTTACACAGTGCTTTGGTGAGGCTGCACATTGCCTTCGAGATGCAGTTGTGGTCACCCATGTCTATGAAAGGGAGTGAGAAAAATAAAACCCAGCTCTTTCATATGATGTGCACTAAAGCTGGAACAGGTGCAGAGGGAGAGCGGTGAGCTTTTCTTATGAGACTAAAAGAGCCCCTTATCTCTAGCCTTGCAAAATGAGGTCTTCAGGGAGAAGCTTTTGATATCTATAAATATACCAAGAGGTAAATATGAGGGAGGGAAAAACTAGCTAAGCTGAAGGGCAATATTCTACAAGAATGAACAGCTACAAGCTGGTTATGATTACATTTATGCTGGTAATTAGAAGGTGGCTCATTAGAGGGGTGAGGTTCTAGAACAACAGGAATAGTGGGAGCAAAACTGCCTGCACGGTTCTAGGGAAGGGCTGCATTCATTTATGAAAGGGATTATATGATGCAGTTGTCTACAGTGAGAAGGAATGAGACTTAACGATTCAGGACATCTATCCCAGTCTTAGACTTCCTATTCAGAACAGGGTATTTTAGTTCAAGAAGTTATTTAGTTCAGAAGTTGTGGACTATCTGAGGAAATTACTTTTGCTCTGGCATAAGCTGTGTGGTAAATCAGACTCAATTTACTTTGTGCCATTAGAGGTTATCCCATTAATTCGTATGTCTTCTTTGGACTTAAACTCTATGAATAAAGACTAAAAATCTCTTTATGCCTATATGAAATTTCATTTGAGAGTTGAAGTATTATGTCCGGAACAGAGTTAGCTGTAAACTAACCTATGGTGTTGTAGGATCCTTCCATGACTAGTGCACTCTTCTGGCTTCAGAAGGACTGATAGCACTGCCTTAGAGGGAAACCCCACAATGTTGTGAAGTGTGCCAAAAGTACCCTAGTTAAATGCCTGGCAAGGAGCTAGGCTAGAGATTAGATCAATGTGCTGGACTGGCCTGTGGAAAAAGATGGCTTCTCTATTTTGGTAAAGCTGTGGGTGAGCTGCTTGTAGAATGCTGATCTTCCTTCCTATCGCAGAGTGTTTTCAGTGATGCGGTACCAAACATGAGTGTGCCTTCTGCTTTTTTTACTTTAACCTACCATCTGACCTGGAATAGTATTTCCCAAATCATTGGAAAGGCAGGCAACTCACTGTCTGGAAGACTTTCTGCTACTGAACAAAGCAACCTATATATAAAATAACTTACAGGTAATATAACAGCAGGGATATAGCTGGATAGAGTGGCTTGCTGTGTTATGTATACTTACACTATTATGTATACTTAGGGTAACTTGGATCTCAGGTCTCTTACATGCAAAATATGAGTGAGATGTCCCAGCAAGTGGGTACAACTAGAGGGACATCTTAAGATTTCCCACCCTGCAAAGGCAGATGTAAAGGCAATGAGGCTGAGTGACTCCACCGCTCTCTCCCAAGTCTTGGCCTGTTTCTTTGGTCCTGGTTCAGCAAAGCACTGAGTTTGCCTGTGAGCAGGTGAGAAGTCCCTTTAATAAGCATGGATTTCAGTGTTTTGTTGAAGCTGATGAACTAGTAACAGGTCTGGCTTTGTAAACATTTGTTATTGTAGGGTTATACAGCTGGCTGCTGCACACACTGAGCTGCTATTATAACCTGCTTGTGAGTGCTCACAAATGCCTGAATTTGATTAAGGACACTCGTATCTTTTAAAATAAGCACAAAGTATCTGAAATGTCTAAACGGTTACTGAGTAAGAAAATAAAACAACTTCAAAACCCACAGCTGTTTCCACTTTGTGGAGTTGTGTATATTTGTTGATGTCTAGAAAGACTTCAGTAGACCTCCAGCCCTAGCTTATTCCTGGGATCTCTTTATGTTTTAACAGAGTGATTGTTTAGATGCTGTGGTACAGCTACTCCTCACTCTTCTTGTAGACTGACTGTATCAAGTAGTTAGGGATTGGGAACACTGTTGCTTCGTACATCACATCCTCTTAACACAGTCTGTATGAGATAAGGCACTGGTGCCCCAAGTTAATAATGGGTGTGTGACCTGAGTTACCTTTAAGAGTCACTTTTAGTGACTTGAGAGTTTATAGCCATACTCGTACAAAAGAGGCAGGAGTAAAAATACTCCTAGTCTATAAGGTAGATGCTGAGCAAGGCTGTAAGGATGGCAGTAAGACTGTGGAATATACAGTATGATGCATTAGTAAATTATTTACTCACTCTAAAGGTAAAAGTTTATCTGAATATTTATCTGTTATCCATTAAAAGTGACCTCTGGCAGGGGGCAATATCAATAACTTGGGATAGTACCATTTCATCTTCTGCTTGCAGAAGAAATGGCCTTTGTTACCAGTCCTGCAAGATGGACCAACGACTAGGCACAATAGGTGAAAAGTTTGCTGGTCTAAAATACATATTTTTTTCCCTTCTCTTCTGTAGGATTTTTAAAGCACCTCAGACGACATCCCAAGTGGATGATTAACTTCACAATGGCAGAACTCACAGTGGAGAATGGCAGCTGTATGGACTGGCAAAAGCGATGCCTTGCATTGGAGTCCCAGCTCTTCAAATTCCGCTTACAGGCAAGCAAGATCCGAGAGCTGTTAGCTGAGAAGGTGAGGCAGTGGTGGCTTCTGCTTCGCACTGAGTTATGACATGAAAGCAAAAAATCCCTAAATGCTGAGCCATCCAATAAAACTGTTACCTGCACTGGGGAAGCTTTCTTGATTACAGTATGTCATTGCAGTCTGCTTATCACTTGAGATACAGAGATGTGCCTGTCAGAGTGGTGTAAAGTGGCATTAATGAAAATAAGAATTTGGCCTTGTTTACTGGAAAATCACTAGGTATTCAGATTCTATTGGAAAACACTGTACCAGCAAGATTCTGGATATCTAAAGTGACTGAGGCAGCTGCAGAGCAAAGGTGGATATTTTGGATAAGAACAGCAGGATTGGGACTTGGCTGGCGATAGAAAAGCTTACAGGCGTGCAACTCATGCTGTAATATTAAAAGGCTGGACAGGGGTACATGTTCTGCCATAGTGTTAGAATAACACTGCATATCCTGTCAAAACATTCTGGGGTTACTGAAGAGCAGGACTGAGATACTTTGAGATCTGGATGTTAGAAACTTGCATGGCATCTGTCTGGTTTTTAGAGGCATCTCCTACTAATCTCTTTCAAGCACACTAAGTGAACTCATTTGGAATCCTAGGGGAGAGGACTGGCAAAGATTTGAGGGTTTTGTTGGTTGTTGTTGTTGTTTTTTTTTTTTGTTTCTAACATGATGTGGATTTTTGGTGTTTTTTCTTTACCTTAAATCAAGTTATTTTTGAATTTGAATTAAAGCTTTTTCACTAACCTCTAATTTGCATAAAATCCAAGTTTGTAGGTTGCTGTGGGGTTCCTTCTTTGTTTCAAAATGTGGCTTACATTATCACAGCCCAGTCCAGGATTGCTCAGATGTTCAATTACTATTGGAAAGTGAGAACAGTTTCTTTCAGTCAGTTTGCTAATGAAGTTGAAATCTTTACAACTGACTGCAGTTTACTCCAAACGCTTTTAAGCTGTACCTGATGACAGATATGTTCTAAACTTGCTTTTGCTCCATTTTCTATTATGTAACTTTTATGTATATATTCTTGTTTCTTGGTTTTGAATGTTAAAACATCCAAATGACATCTACTTTGGAGCGGAGCAATTTTCATCCTTGCTTTCACTGTAATTACATTTCCACTAATGCTGTATACTACATGAGACATTCATTCCACCCTTCATATTTTAAGAAATTATGCAATTCTAAACACCCTCTACATCTTTTCATGGTAGCTTCTGAGATGGACCTTAGTGATTATTTACCTTGGAAAACATTGAAAGTGGTCGTAAAGTCCATTTAGATAAAGGCACATTAAAAAAATCATGTAGAGATGTGGCGCAGGTCTGGTAAAGACAACCAGTACTCATGTGCAATACTCTATGCTTGCTGCAGTATGGAATCTGTGGCCTCATGCTTTGTTAATTCCTGTTTTGAGAAACTTCCTGACTGCCCCTACACAAAACAAAGAAACCCACCTATCAAACTTCTTGTTTTTGGAGAAGAGACTTGCCAGAGATATTTTGGCTTTCTCTTTAGGGAGGTTTGTGGGCCATGGCAGAGAGTGAAATTGTCATCTGCTTCAGGGGGCTCCTCAAGGAAGCGGCCTGACTGCCATTAATCCTGCCTTTCAGTCAAAGCGATGTTCCCTTTGTTAAGATTAAGGAGCAGCTTGGTTCAGTGATCAGGTTACTCTGTAACTACTTGTGCAGTGCCGTTGTAGGCTTACTTGAAGGGTCAAAGAGCTAGCAGATTTGCAGTTCCCTACTCTGAATGTCATGTGGGAAGGGGAGAGCCTCAGGGACTGTGGAGCAGCTCCAGCAGACTCTCCTGACGCAGGTGGACTCGAGGCACCAGAGCAGGTGCTCAGCACACAATGCTCATGCTGAACACTGCTGTTGGGAAGTCTCCCGTGCCTCAGGCTGCCAACTGCTCTGCACCAACTTGCTCAGAGACCCTCCTTCCCCCCTCCTCAGGTGCCACAGGGCTCCCCAGCAGTCCTAGCAACTGGCTTCTGTCCACACTGCATCCTTCTCGTTGTCAGATGGGCAGTGATGCAGAACTGAAGGAGACACATGCTTTATGCATAGTGATGCCAACTCCATGGATTTTTATCATATATTTTGTAACAACTGTGATTTTTTTTTTTTTTTTTCTTCCTTCCCCTTGCAGTTCTATCTGTGAGAATGAAGAGATTTGGACTTATTTGAAAGAGTACTGCATTTTCAAAAAGGTTGGGGGCGGGGAGATCTTGAAAAATGTGAAATGGGCACAGTTTGAAGCTGTGTTGCCAACCAGTGGTGAGCATTGCCCCTGAGATCCTTTGATATGGTTTGCAGCAACAGGAAAATTAACTAAAAAAAAAAAGTGGTTTTGCCAGAGAAGGCAAAGGGCAATGTTAACAGGGGTGTGATACTAGCTCATCAGAGAGGTTGATTCAGGGGTCTGGAAGTTGCTGATTGACAAGCTTGGAAACATGATCCCCCACATTTTAAATCAGTCTCTATAATCAAGTTTATGATTTTAAGGCAGATTTTACTATTTTAACTCACAAAAAACCCAACCACTCATGCCTGGCATTGGTAGTACAATACACGCTAACAGTTTAAATACTTCAGATTTTTAAAATCCGCTTAGATTGAATAATCTAGATCGCTGTTCAGAACATGAGGAATTTAAAGCCCAGTGGTTTAACTGCCAGTGCCCTAGTTCACATGGTGTGAACTTCCACGTTGGCAGCCCGGTCTCAGCAGCGCTGCCCAAGCTGCGCAGAGCCTGGCTGCGGTTCGGCGCGGGAGAGGGACCCCAGCCCCTGGCCTCCAAGACAAAGCTCTGCCGTCTTGCTGGATCCCCGCAGGGCATGAGACCTCTGGGTCCTGCCTTGTTGTGGACATCAGCAGGGATCCGGTCTCTTTGGAAACAGGCAGTTGTTTCCACTCTGACTTTCTTGTACACACACAAAGAAAGGGATACTCCTCTGTAGCGGGCCGTTGCCTTGGCAGCAAGATGACCTGGTTAGGAGTGAGCTCTGGAAGAGAACAGGAGGAAAATGAGTCTGAGACATGCAGGAACTTTTTTCACTCCCCATCAGGGAGGGAAAGCCTGTGTGAACGGTTGATAGGAGGATCTTTTGCAGCTTTTAGAAGGGCCATCTGGGTAGCTTTTAACCTGCTTCTGTCTTTCTTCAATAAACAATGAACATTTGGAAAAAGTCTCTTTTGTCTCATGCAAGCATGGCTATACAACTGGGCCTGTTTCTCTCCATACAAGCTGTCTGGGCTAATGTTTGGGAGAAGAGTTACTTGAATTTGGCTTGGTCACTAAGTTTTTTGTGTGACCTGGGTCAAGTTACTTAGTAGCATTTGTCAAATTATAAAGCATTTTGAATGAAAGGACCCATGTAAATACCGAGCATTATTATTAATTCATTGAGGGATTTGAAAGAGCCTTACAAGCTGGATGTATTAAATCTGAATGCACCCCAGTGAGACAGCTGACACCGGGGATGGGTGAAGTAATCATTTTGCGTACATGAGAAACACAGCAGTTATTTAATAGTTCATAGTAGGACAGCCCAACAATGTAGTACAGGAAGTTAAGAAAAGTACAAGTTCATTTAAGACCACGGAGGGAATTAGGGTGACAAAAGTAATTGATTTGACTGGAACTTAGCCAGGTCAACCTGCTTCCACAAGAAGTTTCATAACTCTTTAGTGATCAGGAGCGGTCCCAACATACATTCTCTGTCCTGATCAGGAACCAGGACTGCTAGCAATGCGAAGCAAACTGTTGTGAGGCTGGGACAGCAAGGAGTTTTTCAGTCAGAACAGTGCTGTCTTCTTAAAATAACCTGAGACTTTCATGGAGATCGCCTGCCTTGTGGAAGATCAAATTATTAGTCTAAGAGCATAGCCTTTGGGAAAAGGACCAGAGATTCATCTAAAGTCTGTGCTGTGAATGTAGACCCTGTCAATTCATCAGAAAACTAGCAAAGGCCATTGACTCTGAAGCTACTTCATGAACGGTCTTTTTTTTGCAAGGTGTATTATGTCTCCAGTTAGCATCTGTCTGTCACCAATATATTTTGCTGCTACCTGCCTGTGGCGATGACTACCCAGAGACTAACAGATAAATGCACGGGTAGATCACTGTTCCTAATGGACACAGACTTGTGTCATAATCCAGACCACTGCTGTCAATGTTCGATTGCCTTGAGCTCGGTCTCTACCAAGACTCTCAGAGGCTGGGTCTTCGGTCAGAGGAGCTTTGGCTGTCTGTGCAATCTTCTGTGGCATCTCTCTGTTCCTCTGCCAAAGAAATGTCCTTGATTTGGATATTAAGCTCCATAGACTGATGTTCTTGATTGCTCCACTGAAAACGCAAACCTGAGAGGTATCATGCTAAATGTGGCACTTGCTAAATGGTTTGAATTTGTTATGGCATGGCTTTTTTAGTTATATTACCATTGAGGTGTCTACATATATGTACCTTTCTGATATGTTTGTCAATAGGTGTCAGTCTGCTCTTATGATCAATGTGTATGTGTGAAAAGGAGAGTTATCTTTTTGCCATCTGAAGGAAGGGAAATAGAAACACATCTCCATTCTGGGTGATCAACCCAAGAGGAATAAGTCCCATTTTCAGAAGTATTGGATTGGTCCTCATAGTGACCAACCTGAATACTTGGCTCCAGTGCTTTATCAAGAATCATAAAATGCATTGGAGAGAAAAGGAGCTCAGTTCCCCTTATGGTTTGTTTTCTGCTTGAAACATGATTCTTTTAACCTTCTGAAGCTGCTTCTGTGTCATTCCTTCATTAGTAAAACACAAATAGAAATGTTGGAAACTCTGTGAAGCATTCCTTGAATTTTGCAGCTTAATGGATGAAACTTGGTGTCACTGACTTTATATTACTGGGCTTAAATCTGAGACCCATTGAAGCAGGGCAGGTGGTGGAAGATGACCTTGCAAGCACTGAATGAGATCCTAAGTTGCTATTAAAAAAAAAAAAAAAAAAAGCTGGGCTCTAGTGGTAAGTTGTTAGCGGAACACCAGGTACATCTGTATTTCACTGAGAATTAAGTGATTTATATACATTTAGAATAAAATTCAGTGTCCTTTGACTTCAATAGCAGCAATGCTTAGGTAAAGAATCACAGAATTGTCCATTTGCAAAGCTCTTTAAAATGAAAAGAAGCATAGGAAAATTAAGATCACTGTTAATCTTGTCAGTTATGAGCCTGTGATGCTTTTGAAGCCAAAGCAAAGTATTCATTGGTTATAATGTGGCATTGTAGAGAACCTGCTGTGAGCTTTCCAAGATGTATTCATTTTTATTTACCACTGTGAATGAATCCTAGCTGAAATAAAAACGGGAAAGAATGACGTACTGTAGACAGGCTTCTTGCAGGGACAGCCCATGGTGTGTGAATTGTAGAGACGGGGTCAAGGCTTTGGGACTATTCCCTTGACCCGTGTAATGAATGATGAAGCTCACTAATGAGAAAACAGTTCCGGTAAATTCAAAGTAGGGCAGAAGACTGGAAAAGGTCAAAGGCTTTTTTTTTCCTGATCAAAGCTGTCCAGTTAACCCAAAAGATTCCAAAAATCTATAGACCTGCACAAGAAATGGAAGATTCCTGAGTAAAACAGGTGGATTTCCAGGTGATGTTAATTTCTTTTCTTTCTTTCCCCCTCTCCCCTCCTTCCCTTCTGGCTCTGAAGATGCAGGAATTGGAACAGAGAGTGATAGAAGCAGAGCAAAGAGCTGAGGATGCAGAGAAACAGGTAAGAGATTCTCTTATGGTTGCTCTGGTACAAGCCAAGCAGGAACTTACTCTAAATTCTGTCCAGTCTAGCATACAGACAGCACTCTGCAGTGCTGTGCTCTGCTAGGGAAACGTTGATTTACAGTGGTGAACGGATTTTCTGGTCTGCTTCCCGGTCTTTGAACCTAAGCTACTAAATACTTTCAACCCTAAGTGAAAACCAGCACCTTATGTCTGCCTCTCAGCTTCACAGCCTTTACCCCCTCATCCATGATAGGCATGCTTGGTTATGGAAAAGGAGGGGGATGTTGTACCTCAGGATTAAAGTGCAGAGATAGAGGTGCCAGGCAGGTCATCAGAAAACAAAAACTGAAGAGTACTGGTAAGGACTTCTCTACAAGTAGAGAAGGTTCTGCGAAAGAAGTAAGGGTGTGTCTGCAAAACCTATCAGTTGTTTTGGACTTTCTTTTTAGTGATTACTGCTCTGGCTCGGAAGCCCATGGAGAAAAGCAGTAAGAGCTGGATTCGTTGCATATTATTGTAACCATCTAAAAATTAGGCGCATTGTCTAAGCTATTCCTTCTATGATTCTTGAATAATAGAGGAGAGAGAGAGAGACTTCAGCTTGTGAACAGGCTATAAAGAATAATGGACCTTTGGGAAGCAGACTGTTGTACAGTCTGTGCTGTAAGGAGTATTGTAAAAACAAAAGAGCCAGGAAGGGCCAGATGGTCTAAGCTCCTGCATCACTGCAGACCACGGCTGAAGGGAAGGTTTGAAGTGAACCAGCTCCCTCCAGCTGGGCAAGAGCTGCAGGACTGAGCATTGAGTCAGAGATTAAATCGCAGAACTAAGAGCTGTGCAAGATGGCCAAGAATGGCTGTCAAAGAGGACTTCAGTAGTGAAGGACTGAATAGGCAGTGTTATAAGCACTGGGAAACATATTGCCTAGGAGTCAAGAACTTGACGCACCTGGTGTTCTGTCTGCAGAACGTACTATTCCATGCCAGTTCGATATTGATGTCAAGATTTTTTTCTGACCGGCTTAAATATAGGAAAGATGCTATGTCTAGTCACCATGCTGTTGACCTTTATGCTAGATCAGCAATTGTCAGCCAAGAACAAGAGTTGTTCTTGAGAGTGGTAACGGTAAGTCCACACCCAACCAAGACAGGCAAAGGTAACATTGTCACTGTGACAGCACCAGCAGGAAATGTAGTTATGGCCACAGGCCAATGAAGGAGGTTTCACACTAGCAGACACCTCAATGACAGGAGTAGAGTGTCCATGATATGGTAAGATGCAATGACAGCAAGGGAGCAGATGGAGAGCCAGTCAAATCCGGGTCAGAGAATGGGCTAGAAAGGGAGAACTTGGCTGGGAAGGTGTAGGAGAAATGAGGGTTGTCTTCACTCACCTGCCACCAGCACAAATGAGGGTTGCCTTCACTCACCTGCCACCAGCAGTTCTGCAGCCATGTGTTGGCAGGTTCTAAAGACTAGCAACCCTCGAAGTTGTAGGGTCTGCCTTTCCAGCAGCCTTATCCACATCCAGAGATAAGTGTTCCTAGAGAAATATTTCATTGCTGCCTGACAGCCTGAAGAAGTGACAGCCTAAGGAGTAGGACCATTGCCTTCCACTAACAAGTATATTCACTGTGAATGAGAAGCAGCTGACAAATGAGGGGGCTCCACATCCAGTGTAAAATCTCTTGTTATCGTTCTCTCCAGGAGTCTGGTGGGTTGGATTTGTTAATTCAATGGGCTCCCTGTAGCTGCCAACCTCAATTAAGGAAATCACATGTTTGTAGTCCCCTCTCTGAGCCTCTAGTGCAGAGTCAGCATTTGGGCATCAGACAGAAAGGAGGGGCCATTTCTTTTTACTATAATCACCCTAAACTCCAATGAAAACACATCCGACTCAGCAGGCTTAGTTTTCTGGCTCGGATGTTAGGCGCCTACCTTTCTGATTCAGTATGAGGAAGAGGCAGTTTGCTTCTCTGCCTAATGCAGGCAGACAGGAGGACAAAACACAGCTTCTGCAAGTATGAAGTGTAGGCTGCTCAACAGAGCATGAGTAACTCTCTTGCACAGTGAAGTGCTCAGATCATTGCCCGCATTCTGCCTTCCTGGTTCCAAACTCATGCCAAATTAGTGGTATCTGGAGTTGGTTTCTTTGCAGATTCATTCTCTCTGGGATGTGTTGGAACCAGATATTTGCCATCATCAAATGCTGCAATTAGCAGGTTTGAGTTAAGTTGGCGGAAATACATTCACCTTTAGAAGAGAAGTCTTATAATCCATTGCAACAGGATGAGGTAATGATAAAACAGACTGGCATATCAAGAGACATAGGTTTGGAAGAAAGCAAAAAGGTTTTAAAAATTTGTTAAAAACCTGAAAGGCTTGAGCAGCAGCTAGATTTTAGTGCATTAAACTTTGTCTGTAGTGAAGGAGCATTTCTGCTGAGATGAACAAGCGTTGGCCCTGGCAGGACCTCAAAGATAGGCAAAGCTTCTGAAATACTTATCATGGTAACTCTGTAGCAGGTCTGGGGAAAACACTTGTCAGAAAGCCAGAAGTTGCCAAAACATTGGCTAAGCTGGGGATAAGAGGAGGAAGGAACTCCACAGTACATTTCCCTATAGAAATCTTGATCTGAAGCAAATGGCCAGGGTTTTGTGGTGTATGCCTTGGTAGTGAATGGGGTAAAAAGCTGACCACAGTATTGCAAAGGAGGAAAATATGGTGTACCTTGCTCATACGTCTATGTAGACTATAGAGCCTGTATAATATAACGTGCAAATTTTTCACAATCCACAGCGTGTTTGTCTGTTCATGGTTCAGTTTGCATCTGTTACCGCTTCAGCATTACAAATGAATGGACAATGTTCTTTTCACATATGTGTATATAAACTGTGTGACTTGAACTTTTTTTTTTTCCCTTCCTTTCCCAACTTTGAAAATATGAAACCCACGAATACCCTCAGTTAGGGTAAACTAAACAAGCAGCTCCTTCATTTGCATTGTTTTGGTTTTTTATCTCCCTCTGATTGTCATTACAGGTCAAAGTTATGGAAGAGAAGATAAAACTAGCCAACGTGAAGACCGGTGAATCAGACAGCGTTCTGCACAGGAAATACCAAGAGCTGATGGGCACAGTGCAAGGAAAGGAGGATCTGATCAACAGATTGGAGACACAGCTAGCAAAACAGGTAAAGATATTTTCTACAGCGACACCTGTAGCTTTCATGAGTTGGAGGGACTCTGTATGTTTCAAAGGTACGGATTGTGTCTCCATTACATATTAGCCTCTCAGATGCCTTCAGATCAGCTGTAAAATGATGCCCTGCTCAGTGTAAGATCGTCTCCTTCCTTTCTCTTTTCAGACAAAAACATCCATTCAGCTTCAGTAGTAGCCCTTGTCTCTTCATTATAGGAAATTGGTCAATGTTCTTAAAGAACTTCCTTATGTTAGTGTTGAGTCAGTGTTGAGACCCTAAATTGTAATGCTAGAGTCTGGTCTCTGTATTTTTCTGGCTTCCTAGCATATAGATTCTCTGCAAAATCATTATGTAGCCCATCTCTGACTCGGCATATGCTGCTTCTTGGGAAAGGACTTTTCCCAGTCTTCAGCAATCCTTTAGCATAGTTCATCTCTTGTCAGATGTCCTCATTATAAAAGAGTAGCTGTTTCCCAGTATGGATAGTTCTTAGTCTTTTCCATTCTCAGTTAGTGGAAGGAAAGAGCTACATCTACAGCAGGCCTTGTATTTTGACTCTAGTAAAGGCCTTGCCCTCTAGTCTTTATAACATGAGGAATGAGGTGTTCTTATATGTTTCTAAGTAAATTACTTCTAAATGGAAATAGCTCATTAGAATTTTACACAAAAAAATACTTTGCCACATGAGTTACATTTTACATTTAACTAATTGTCACCTATTTCAAGAGCAAAATAGATTGGTAAGCTGCCTGAACTTACTCAGACCAAGTGTAGTGTGGAGGTCAGGCATCAGGTCTTTGTAATGCTCTGGGTCTCAGGTCACTTCCCCAGGCCAGCCTGCTCAGGCAGAATGTAGATGAAGTTTCTGCATTTTGGAAGAGAAAGAAGGTGTATGGAAGGAGCTACAATAGTGATCAAGGTCTGGAAGCAGCTCTTGCAATCAAAGATGGAAGAAATTTTGATTTATTAAAAAATGCGAGGTGTGATTTGATTAAAATCAACAAACACAAGTGGGAAAAATATTCTGTTAGTAGAAATCTTTTTATTCTAGCAACAAGAGGCAAAATGAGATTCTAGAAATGAAAGCCGAAGCTTAACAATTTCAGACAAGAAACACTCTTTATCAGGTCACCTGTTAAGTTTCAGAATGGGATGGGACGGTGGAAAGTCACTAAGGGTCCCTGGTCACTAAGGCATCCTATTTGTTTTTACTGGGATGGGGAGAGCTGTGGAGTTCAGAGTGTTAATAAGAGAACACTGAGGTCATGTCTGGACCACACAATAGCATGGGACACAAAGAACGTCTAATTGCTTCTGGATCTTAAAGCACAATAACTGCATCTACGGGTGCTGTGCCTGAGTGAATTGGTTCTGCTTAGAGGCAGGGCTTACTAAGCTCTGTGACAATGCTGTTGTCATGTCACTATCCTACTTTAGAGACTCTAAATAAAATCTTGGCATTGCACTTCACCGTGTAGCATAGCAATATTCTGAATCTTTTACCTCTTGGTCTCTGATCTGAGGCAAATCCAGGTCATTAGGGATTCAAAGGCATTGCCCATGTGATGGATATCCAGAGGACTATGGTAGATCCACTATATGTGCCAGATCATTTCAGACCAGTAGGCACGTCTAATATTCTGACTCCAGCAAAGGCTGGTACCTGATGATTCGGAACATACACAGCCATATTCAGGGAGAAAAACTAAATAAATCCTCCTCTTGAAGCATCAGATTTGATTATTTTTATTTCATTATGCTCAACTACAAATGTTACTGCTACCCATAATGTTGGCAAGGCCTATTTTAAAGTCGGTAAACATATTTGAATAAGAGCTTTTAAATGTGCAGTTGTGGTGATGAATAGCACGTGGTGATTAAAAGTGATGTGAAGATGTGGGGAATTTCCTGCAGTCTACTGTGTATTTATATGGTATTCATTAAGTGAGCTTACACTCTTCAGTGTGAAAAATTTAAAAAGGGGGGTGGGGAGGGAAGCACTGACACTTTTATTATCATAATTACTGATATTTGTTCACATCAGAAAAAGAAAATCGAGCAGGGAAATCACCAACTGCTACCGGAAGGTATTACCTTTGTCCATTTAATTAGAGAAACCAGGGCTGAATGTACCATACAGAGTATATTCCCCCTCCCTCTCTCAGAACTGATTTCTCCTGTAGTTGTTTAAATCATTATGTAGATAGGAGACCTTTCAGTGACATTGCTTCTGGTGAAGCCACACAGGAGATGAACAGAAGGCTTCAGGTGATCGTAGCCATCCAGCATCTTTCAAAGGAAATTCCCAGAAAAGGAAAAAAAATGTTGCTGAGAAAACACAGCTGCAAAAATGATGTTGTAGCAATATTGCCCAAGCAGATACTTGGGGAAAAATGTTCATTGTGCAAATCAACAGTATTCCCATAACACCTTTGTGTGGACTAGAACCTGTTTTAATGGGTATGTAAACATACAACCACTTACACCATCTCAAAACCTCATAGCAGGTCTTAGTGTTTCAAGGTCAAGTTTTGGAGCTTTTTTTATCCTGGGTCTGCAATCTTTTTTTTTTTTTTTTATTTACTTTCTCAATGAGAATATTGTGTGTGTGTGTGTTAAATACATTGTTGGTATTAGTTTCCATCTCATGCACCATTAAAGTCTATACACCTGTGCTTGCAGCAACTGAATCCCTTTTGCTTGGAAGAATTACACTGTTTTATAAATCACTTACAGGCACTGCTTAATTCTTATCAACTTCAGCCAACAATGTGTTTGTGTGTAGGCTGGGGGAACACTACAGATGCTCAACAGCAAACAGCAATGTTGCAAAAGCATCTAAAACAGGAAAAGTTCCAGACTGTACTAAAAAGAAACTGTGGTAGGTGGGCAATCATCTGAGCTGGATATTGCTCTTCCACCACAAACTCTTGAAACAACCCTCTGAATTTGACTCCAGGGACCATGTAAGACAACTTAGAGATTGATTTTTCAGAGGCCGGCTAAATAATAATATCCAAATAGCAGTCTTAAATCTTATGTCTGGAATGGGAGCTTCAATGTTTAAGTCACTCCTGATGCAGTAACTTACTAAGAACAGTTAGTTGTATTCTCCTAACGCATCTAATCTTTTTTTTGGCACAGAAACAGTTGAGAACTGAGGAAGCCAAAATTGTTCAAGAGAAAGCTGCCAGGATCAAAGAGTGGGTAACATTTAAGCTGAGAGAGGTGAGTCTTTAGCTTGCTGCCAGGTTTCAAGGCCTATGACTAGGTACAGTGGCTTCACTGCCAGTGGGCTCCTGTGTAGGACAATAGTCTGAGGACAGTCCATCTGCCACAGAGGCTTTCTGCTTGTTGGCCCTACACACACTCAGTTGCAGAGCTAGGGTCATCGCTCTTACTGAGGGCTACTTACTGCTTTGGGCAAACTATAAATGACTGTGAAGTCACTAACGCCCGAAAGCAGTCTCTGAAGAAGATTTACTGGTCACAAATGGCTTTCACCTAGCTTTCCTCTGCCTCTCCCTTTTTTCTCTGGGTGCAGTTTCTGTCTCTTTTTCTGACAAAGCAGCTGTGACACAAACACATCCTTTGCTCTTCCTTAATTTGCCATCTCTGACTAATGCTGTTTTCTTACTGTGCAACGTTTTCTCATGTCTAACCTCTCCCTCCTATCCATCCTGTGGACTTATGCCTCTATCTGGGCCTAATTCAGTACCCTCTAGAAAAACTGAGAGATAGCAATGGGTCGGCATGCAGTTTTAAAGATGCAGTAATAGTTTACAACTGCGAGTGGGGCTATCTGGTCCTTCCCTTTTATTCCAAGTTAAAGCCATAGATTTCCCAGTTTATGCTAGAAAGGGAATTTGTTGGAGTTTGAAGAAGCAGTGTTTGTGGGCACTAATTGTGTTATGATGTGACTTTGTAATCTCATTAGATTGCCTAGATAATTCACTGAGCTGCAGTGCTACTTCTCTTTCATTCTCCTATATGAGATAACTTAAGGTGCATCTACATTACTAACTGGTGCAGCGCAAAGGAGGAAGCACAGGGGTTAACTTGGTGTGACCTGCTGTGAATCCAGGACCATACATTCACACTGTGGCTTTACTGGCAATGAAGTTCATGCCAGATGCTGATTCTAGGTGCATACCACGCACCGCTGCCAACTGAAGGACTTTGCATCTGTGTTGCAAATGGGTTGCTCTAGACAGCACCATGGGTGCTATTTCAACTTTGATTCCATCAAGAGGGAAGGCTCTTTGGGTGCACCACTGCTGTGTTTAAGAATGTGTGCTGAGACACTTCAAGCAAGACATAAGGCAAATTTGCAAAGAATCACTCGTGCACTAATTGCAAATGTAAATGCACCCTTAATGTTTGGGTTTTTTTCTTTGGTCCCCTGGATCCAGGTGACCTCCTTTTACCACATACAGGGTGAGAGGGAAAAATGCTCCTTCTGGGTAAAAGTTTTTTGCTTGTCTCTTTCATGACAGTTATTTCTGGAACAGGATTAAATGCTAAACAATAGCAGGGAAGGAAATTAAAAGACCTATTTGAGAAGTGCGAATAGTATATACAGAGGCTATTTGAGAAAGCACAGCAAAGTGTTTAAGTGGGTTGTCCAATAGAGAGGCTGAGGAGGAAGATTTCAAGGTGACTGGTAGACTCACCCATCCTTTTTTCCTTTTCTTGTTCAGACACTTGAATGTAATAAAGATGAAGACATGTTCTGTATAGTGGAACACACGCACACACAGTTTTGCATTATTTTTCAGTTTTTATTATTGTTGTTTCATAGCTTGAGCTAGAAAATTACCACCTGAAAAACTGTAATCAGAGGCTGACGGAGCAAATTGAAGCCCTTCAGGATACATTGCAAGGTAAATGTGTTCACCTAGCATTGTAGCCTAGTAACCACCACAAGAGTGGAAGTCAGCATTCCTGGGTTGTATTCTTAACTTTGTGAGAAATTAGCACTTGTGACAGTGAGCAAGCAAGTAGAATTGCTCTGTTCCTCAGTGGGTCCATTTTTAAGATGGGAATAACATTGCTTACCTGCCTTAAAAACTCTTAATTGGTTTCCCGCCAGTGATTGAACACAGACCCCTTTTTTTTCTTTCCCCAGAATCTGCTTTTGCCATTAAAATAAGCCACTGAGCTCCTGAATTAGAAGCACTCATTGAAATACATAGCAAAACTCTCCATTCACTTCAGTGGTGCAGGGTAGAAGTCCCTGAGGTATTTCACTTTACCTCCACGTGCGAATTACCCTCATCCCCACAGAACCTCAGCTGGCATGTGAGCTGAGTAAGTGAGGACTGAATGGGCCAAGGCAGAAGCTGTCTGGTCTGCCTTTAGAAGCTGGGTTCCTCTGTGCTATCAGGTTGGGTTGGAGAAAGCTGCTTACGGTGCTTGTGCTTTTTTGGTTCTTGTTTGGTGGGTAGATGGAGAACTTTGGTCTCCAGGGCTTGAAATCAGCACCTTTCATCACAACACAATTTGAAGAGGAAATTCTCTCTTAACCATTTTCTTCCTATTTTTTTTAATGAGCTTGGTTTGGTCACAGTAAGATGAGCTAGTTTCCAGAACTTCACTGGGCATGCAGGCAGGGGGCATTTCTTTCCTGCAGAAGTCTTTCTGGCATTCCTATCACTCCACAGCAAGGGAATAAGGCAAAATTCCTTCTAAATCCCACCACGTTTCTAGCTAAATGCTTTATGACTGGGTTTTTCTCATCCCCTCTGGCTCTGGCTGTTTACAAAAAAAGAATGGCTGGTAAGCTGCGTTAATAATCTGGTATTAAGTGTTCCCTGGATCCCAACTCTCTGGGCAGTAAACAGCTCTGTCCTCTCCTCTTATCCCCCACTAGTCTCACTGTGCCATGCTGAATTCAGAGGCCTCTGCAGAGAGTCAAATGTCTTCTTGCTTGCCACGCTAATAGTAACAGCTTCCTCTGCTTCATCTCCTCTCACATCTAGGAAGCTGCAAAAATGTCAAAAATATTTAAAATGAATGGCCTCTTTTCAGTCTACACTAATGATTTACCTCGGGGCAGGGAAAAATGTGTGCCAGGATTTGTGTGTGCCAGCGTTATGTGTTAGGAATAGCTTTGTTAGCATTCAGTTCCTTGTGACTTAAGTGCCAAGGTCAGGCTCTCATGGTTGTCTTTTTCTCAGCTGTGTTTCCAAGAGCGGGTTTCATCCTCTCCACAATCAACAGTGATTTATTCTGCAGTTTGCCCTTCCCTCTGTTACTTTGTGTCTTCAGTTTGTTTCTACTTCCTTGTAAGTCCCATTAGTGGTTAAGCAATGCCTGTAGAGTTTGATGTTCAGGGAGCATTTTCAGCGATAGCTGTGCAGAGTCACACTCACCCATATTTATGCAATTTCCAAAGCATCTTGTGACTTGGTTCTTTTCAGTTAGGCAATATATAAATGCCGAGGTCAATCAAAATCATAAAGTGAAGTAACATCCTCTGCCACTCCAAGTTTTATCCACATGTTCTTATACCCTAAAGCTGCTATTCAGCACAACCTGTAAAACTGAGATAGTCTTTAAATCTAGTATTTATGGAAAGGAAGAAAGTGGAAGAATTATAAAGTATAGGTACTAAATAGACAAAGAACAGTGGAGGCAATCTAGGATCTATTATGTCATCTTCTAATACAGCAACTGAAGGGGCAGAGAAAAAAATAAAGAAAAGGAAGTTTTTACAGCAAAAACATGTAAGTAACTATTATAAAACTTGTTGACAAAAAGCACTGCTTGGGTCATATAGCACAAAAGGATAGCAAAAAGCTCTAGGGAAATTCTTGAAAAGAGAGTAACCTCGCTGATTGGTGTGATGGTTAAAAAGGTCTCCATACATATGCTGGAAGCCTCACCTAGCCCCTAGGAATGGGAGGAACTGTACCAGCTTATTTGATGGCTTAAATCACTGTGGCTCCATTGAAGTCAAAAGCCATGCTAAGCAGTGTTCTGGCCACTTAGATGGTTTTTGACAAAGTATTGTGTGGATAGGTGCACTTTCTTCTCATGGCTGTTTTAAGAGAAGAGATGAGATGTAATCGTGGATAGGCAAGAGTAAAAACTGCTATATTGAGTTAGACTGAAAGCTTGCCTAGCCCAGTATCCTCTCTCCTGGTTGGCTGTGGATGTTTCAGGAAAGAGCATAGAAAATACTGCAAGTAGAGCTGTCCTTCTCTCCATGTACCCTTCCAGCTTCTGCTGTCAGTGTTTTAGGAAGCTCCTAGGCCAGAACTTCTGTCTAAACTGTTATTTGTACCACTGATAAATTACTTTTTCTGGCCTATCTTTTGGACACCACAGCATTCTATTTCCTTTTTTGTTTGGGGGAAAAAAAAAAACCAAACCTTCCTTCTGTAAATTTCAACACACTGCCTGATAATTTCATTAGGCACCCCTTAATTCCGCTTCTGTAAGAAACAGCAGTTAATCATTTCCTATTCATCTTCTCTGTCCTATTCCTAATTACAAATATATAGCACTTCTCTTATAGCTGTGCCCAGCCATCTCCTTTCCATTCTGTATGGAAAGTCCTAACCAAGCCAGGGTGCTATTAAAGTACAACTGACATGAACAACTTACACTAGCAAGTAACATTTTAGACAGTAAAGCATTTGAATGCCCTAACCATATGTTCTCCTCCGTTGTAGATATGACCAGCATTCCTCCCTTTGAATCTCTTTGGAGCTGTAATTCTCTGAAGCCCAGAGCATCACAGGCCTCTCTTGCTGAGAAGATAGACCAGAAATCTGTGCTCCTTGCACCTGGTTTCAGACAGGTGTGTCAGACAGGACCTACCAAACATGTCCTCTCTACAGCAAACATAGTCCTTGCCAATGACACCTTTACTGAGGATGGAGAGGATAAATCTCTGCTTTCCCAGAGCACGCTGAAGCTCATGTCTGGCCCATCAAGCTGGAATCTCTCCACAGAGAAAGATGTATTCCCAGCCGTAAGTTCTGAACACCGGTTGAGGTGCTCTGATCCCGCATCACTGGACCCTCCAGCTGAGGCCACAAGAATCCTTGAGGCTCTGACTTTCCAGTCATCTTTGGAAGGAAACAGTAGTGCTGTGAGCACCTTGCAACCAGTGGCTTTGGATGGCACCCGCTTGTCTGATGATCTGAGTGCCAGATTCCGCTCGCACCGGCTGGCCTCCTCTTCTTCAGCAGAAATAATGAGCATGCTTGAGAGCCATCTCCAAACTTCTGAGCCACCCCTGGTTGTGTCAACATCAGCTGTTACAGCACATTCCTTCTGTCCAGGGAGGGAATGTGGCCTTGGCAGTAGTATGACCTTTCCAAAAATACGAACTCCCAGTACACCAAGAGACAGTATCCAACTAGCCAAGAGACATTACAGCCAACCACAGCCAGGGGCTAATTCTTTCCATCCTGTGATGAGCTTAGAGGCTAGCATCTTCCAGCCCATAACAGACTCTCCAGTCTGCCATGGGCAAGTGAAGGAGACAGACATTGATGATGATGGGGTACTGGAGAAGATGGAAACAGAACGTGGCCCGGTGAGGGAAGAAGCTGGAGCATGTGAGGAAATCAACCACTTATCTACAGGGCAAAGAGAAGCTGTGAGTTCTGAGGCTGGCGTACTTGACCCAGGAGGTAAACCTCCCACGCCACCGCTGCACAGATTCCCATCGTGGGTAAGAAATGCAAGGACAATAGTCTGAGAAGTGCTGCTTATCTTTGAGTAGTTAGGCTACGACAGCTCTTGGTCTCAAGCAATTGTTTCCTGTGGACATCAGTCATGTTTCTGAACCACCTAGTCTGACAGTTCCAGATCATGGGGCATGCTGGTTCCACTGACAATTTTTTTGTTCTTTTCTCTTTGTAAGGGAAAAAAAAAAATCCATGGAAGAAAATAGTACTCAAGAAACATAGGAATAAAAATGAAAGTCAAGAGGTGTTGCATTGTGGTTTATCCTTATGGGTCATCAAAAATTAATCCTTTGTTCTGTTGTCATGTGTTTAAGATAGAAAAGTGAGTCATAAATGCAAATGAATAGACCAGACCAGATAGTTTCAGGGTCAGAAAAAGCTGTGAATACTAGAATAGATACATGGATTAGATCTCAGCATTCCTATCTCATGGTATACTTCTGCTATCAGGAAAACTATGTGAAAACCATTGGTAAAGTGAATATGCATGTCCTATTGCTTACTTCACATGAGAGAGAAGTCTGTTATTATCACTTTCAGTTACTTGTGAGTTCAGATGGTTGGATTGCTTGCTAATGTGTCAATCTAACTGATAAACTTAGTGGAAATCAATGTAGTATCAAAAGAGATAATTCCATTGTTTTCAGTTTGCTTTTTTAAAGGCATAGGCAAACAAGTGTTTTATTGAAGGTGCAAAATCAAGAACTCATTGTTAATCCTCATGTTTTATAAATTTTTTTTGATGAAAACTTAACATTATTTCTGATCTTTGGCTGTGTCTTTTATGATACCGATTTAAACCCCAGTATGATGACAGTTGTTTTTCCAAAGGAATCTCTTTTCATTCAGTCCATAATATGGAACTGTGCTGGGGATGAAGCTGGATAGTATAGTAAAAGAAACTGCAGTTTCCAGGATGTCTGTTTTATTTGCTGCAGAAGTCAGAGAGGTGTCATGAACAGTGTACTCACTTGGAAGAAGGGAAATACATCTCAGAGATTGGCTACTATTCCTTTCTCTGATCTAGAGTTCCCATGTAAGGTTCCTCTAGTCCCTTAAGCTAAATTTTTCACAGGTGATAATCACACACACCTTCAGAATGTCTAACTTGAGTTTGGCAAGTAAATTTGATTGGAGAAGCACTGAGCACTCTCTGCTGCAACTGTATTCAGTTGTTTTCATTATAAACAATGTTATATGATGCCAAATTCTCAAAAAGTTAGGTCTTGGACACCTTGAAATGGGTACTCCAAAGATATTGGATACTTCAAAGAACTTATGTCTGAGTTCCTCTTCTGAGTTCCTCTTCTAGAAAATAGCAATAGCACCCATCATGTCCCTCCCAGGGTTTTTGTAAAATTTTTATTAATGTTTATGAAGCATTATAGTATTATAGTCAGGAACACCACAGGAAAAATCCGTTATTTTGTCTTCAGACCAGAGTCAAGTAAATGTATCCAAGTAGGGCAAATTTAAGTATATCAAACACTAAAGCATGAATAGAATATTAAATAACAGATTAATCAGTAGGAAATGTCCATTATGTGCCTTGAATAGGAAGTGTCTGGGGAAAAAAATGCACATAATGTTTCGTTAGAGACTAAATCACAATGCATATCCCTACAGAAAATACTAATTCTGTAACTTCTTTTTTTGGTGTACTTGACTTTGCAGTCTTAGGTACCTTCATGTATATGTATTATATGTGTTATCTGGTAGTGATTGGTTGTACGCTTTAAGGAGCGGCAAGAGGATTCCTAGCTTTGATTTTTATCCATTTTGGACTGGTTGATGTCTTAGTTATAACATTGCATTTAGTTACAGGTTTGGGTTCCCCCCTTGGAATTTTTATCAATTTTTGAAGTACTTGGAGATCCTTTGAACTGAAAGCTCCATGTGTTGTTATAACTGAGACACAGGCTTATCGAGATCATTCCAGCCATTTCTTTCATTCCCTTATCAGAGAATGGGAATCTTTTGCAGGTGGTGACTCAATAAATTGTCCTGTTTTAGGGCTGTTCTTGATTCATTTTAATGCATTGTTCATAAAGTGGAAAAAACAGCTTTTTCCAAGCTGTGATGTAGTTATTTATTGATAATTGCATGTAGGTGTTCCAGTCTGCATCATTTATAAGCCAAGTATGTTGTGATTCAGGAATTGCACACAGATGCACATTTCCACTAATGGTCATTCACCCAACATCTGGTGGCATAGAGCAATCTTTCTTAGAGGGCCCCTCCTTCCTGCCCAAAGGTGTGATTGTGATGTGATTCTGTGACACGAGCATTTCTTTTTGCAGGAATCATGTTTTTGTCTGACCATTGCTGTTCATGGTATTATTGTTCCAGGAGAGTCGAATCTATGCTGTGGCCAAGTCTGGCATGAGGTTGTCTGAAGTGGCCACCTTGAATGATACTTCCAGCTGCTGTAAGTTCCAGACGAGATCCATCCTTAGAGGCAGTTTACAGTGACAGTGTGGGACCTGAGCTTCTGGCTGTTCACATTTCTTCATTTCCTTGCCTGTTTTCAAAGTAAATTTGATTTCGCAAATAGCCACGATAAAGAAAGGAAGGGAGGAGGATACATCTGATCTCGGGGATGGTTGGTGCTGGGCTATTTGAGCCTCTACATTCAGTGACATCCTCAGAGACTCCATTATCTCCTTCATCACTTTCACTGACACTGTTCTGCCTCTGCATGTCTCTGACCTGCTTTTAGTCTTGTGATTCACCATCATCTTCCCCTGTTACGGCTTTTACCTGTTTGGACATGGTGCACTGGATTGCCGTTGTACCATGGGGAGCACAGGGTGGGCAAGATGTCTTACAGGCTAAATGGAGGGAGCATTGCAGCTGTCTCTGGGAGCTGTATGTAATTAACACATCCCCTGGCCTTTCTCAGGCCGAACTGTCCAGGATGGCAGTCGTCCATTATTTGTAGCCTTCCAAGAGCCTACATCGGTTCTTACACGCATACATGTACCTCTCCATTAAAACCTCCTCCTTTTCACCAGTTTGTATTATTTGCTCTCTTGCCCTCTCTCTGAATTTTCCCAGTTTCCAATTTCTCGCGTTCAACTTCTGGGCCATTTACCTGTCTCATCTACAGAAACGTCACAGTGCCAGTCTACACTACGCTGAAGGGGGTAAGGAGTTACTTCACTTTTCCTCTTATGAAAAGCATGGTCCAGGGCTGCCAGTAATTTGATAGAGAACGAGCTGAAGCTGTGCAGTGAAGGAAAGAAAATTAGAGAATGCCAGGAAGTACTGGACACCAAAAGAATGCAGAAGGAGTAACAGATGATAAATGTATTTAGGAATACAGAACGTTACAGCAAGTTTTGGTCCAGGAAGCTGCAGTGTGTACTATGATGCTGTAGAAACCTAGGGGGTGGTAGTGGCTGTAGCCTAGAGAATGAAATGGAAGAGGGCCCTTGAGAGCTTATGGGGGACACACAGGGCTTGTGGAACCGTAGGAGGGTGTAACCAGAGGAGACCCAAACAGATCAGACTAGAGAGTCCAGCTTGGAAGTTCTCAGACTAGAAAGGGGGAGGAAATGAGGAGCCCTGGGACAGTAGTGGGCAAGGCAGAGTGAAAATGAAGGGCCTGCATTGATTGCTCTGTCTCCTTATTGAGCAGGGATTGACCCGGGGAAACTCTTCCTTCACACACTGACCATACAGGTCTGTTTTCCAGAAAGCCACACAGATCAGCAATGTGCCTTTCTTAGATGAGTCTTCAGGCTCTGATGATGACTGTGGCTCCCATGCCAGCTTCAGAACTTCTACTGCTGGATCCGAGAACAGGAAAGCTAGCATACCAGGCAGCCCTCGTGCAGTGAAGAGAGGTAAAGTGGGAGTATTGCTGCTGAGCAACATGAACTCTGTCCTCACGGGTGAGGCAAGATGTCCTGAACAGCATCATCGGTGACAGGCAAATGCTCAGCCTTTGTGATGCTAATAAGGAGTTCTCCCAGAATGTGTGCAGACATCAACAGCTACTCAATAGAAACCTGTCCTCTTAGATGGGTTTTTACTCCTGGTAGATTTCCATCCAGGCAATTGCTAAGCTAAGACTGTGGAAAGGATTGGTCTCCCAAATTCATCACAGATCCAGTGAAGCCATCCATACCTTTTGTTTGACTTCTCCATGTAAGCAAGCTCGTACTGACACATTAAAGAAAATGGTTTTTGTCTCTGTCACTGGCTGATAATTTCTTGATCAGTAAGCAAATCTTTCCTGTCTTTGAGAGGCATCAGGTAATTTGGGTTCTGACTAGGAAAATTAATTTTTCTTGACTGCTGGGAAGGTTAAACTGGATCCTTGAGTGGAATTTTCATTACAATTGGTAGTCAATAAAATAGAGTCCCGTTTCATGTGGCCTTAACTTCTGTTGTGATGCATTGGCTGATATGTCTGTGCATTGCCATGGACCGGTGGTGGAAGACTCACAGAAAGCAAAGCCCTATTGCTGGTGAGGCAGCCTTTTCTTTAGTTTGAATGAGAGGGGCTTGAGGCTTTATAATGGATGTTTCCAAGCTGAAAACTGCATGTCTGTGCTTTAGATAACAAGTCTGTTTATTTTTATATATTTTTTTTTTCTTTTTTTTTTTTTTTTAATCTCTATTTATTTGGCAACAAAACAAATTTATTTCACTGTCAGTATCCAAAACTCACTTTCACCACTTGTCTTCCTAGGAAAAAAAAAAAAAGGTCTCAGAAGTTTGGTTAGTGGGGTTTGAGTTTCTGAAGTCTGATCTGATTTGTTGTTCTTGAACAAAAAAGCCTTAATGGTGAACTCAAAAACTTTTTTCAGAGTGTGCAGTATTCAGTGCATGTTTCTGTCTAGCCGTGATCCTCATTCTTCCCTTTATTTCGAACAGGTGTATCTATGTCCTCACTGAGCTCTGAGAGTGACTATGCCATCCCTCCTGATGCCTACTCCTTGGATGGTGACTATTCAGAGCCAGAACATAAGCTACAGCGAACATCTTCCTATTCCACTGATGGTGGAATCTGTACTGTAAGTCTTGCTACCTCACAGTTGTGAAGGGATGCAAACAGAGCCTTGGCCTTGAAAGAGAAAAAGCATAACTACAGTATATTTAGTTATCCCGTGCAAAGTGATGTTCCAACAGACTGGACTGTTGGTCCAGCTGGTTTGTATCAAAAGACACTATCTGATGCTTCAGAAGAAGGTGCAATTTCTGTTACATGGTTAGATAAAAATATAAGCATCCAGGTACTGGTTTCCTGTAATGATGGCCTTACACTTTTGTGACAAAACAAGTTTGGAAATTCAGAGGAAGGAAGGAGAAAGGATAGAATATTTTGGCCTAGGAAAAAACCTCAAACACAGGCAGCATTAAATTCTGTATTCTTGAATGTAAGAGATGAAGCAGATGAGGAACAGGAGTTCTAATCATGGCTTAGAGCCAGCCTTCACTTTTTTTGGAAAATCACTGCTATGGTAGGAAGACAAATAAGTTTTCAGTGTATCAAACAACCAACGAAATGATCTTCAGATGCCTTCTTTACTAAAACAACACAATGTGGTATTTGCAGCTACACAGATAGTCTAGGACTCTCTCCAAGTTGAGCAGAGAGCACTGACCTTGGATGGCTGCTACTTCCATCTGGCAGAGTAAAGCAGAAAATGATGGAGATGCAGCAAATGTCTGAGCTTGACTTCAGCACTCTTTCATTTGTGTTTTGAGAGGTGCAAGATAACCTTCTCGCCGCCTTGTTCTTTGGCCTCCAGGAACCCATGGAGAAATCAGGTTACTTGCTGAAAATGGGCAGCCAGGTGAAGATGTGGAAGAGACGATGGTTTGTTCTAAGAAACAGACAAATCATGTACTACAAGTCTCCGGTGAGTCACTGGGATACATTTACTCCTGTGTGGAGGCACAGGGGAATGCTGTCTGCAGAGCTGGTTCCAGGCTAATACCACTGGCAGAGTGGACAGCCATGGGCAAGCTTCCCCCAAAATGTCCTGCCAAAGAGCTTTATGTCTGACCCACAGGTTCAACCGTGGGTCTCTGCGTGGGCAGGGAAGCTCCTTGTGGTGGCAGTTTCCAGGAGATGAAAGGTTGTTCAGAAGGTCAGAAGCTTGACACCTACTGGTTAACTTTGTACACATGACGAAAAGCAGAAGGCATACCATGGCCCATCTTTGGTCGTGTTTAAAATGAAAATAAAGGAAAAATAAATTACAATACCAGGAGGGTGCAGATACATACTCATCAGTCAGCATACAGGGCTCTGAGGAAAACTACAACTTTCAGGGGGAAGAAAGCTGGATTCTTTCATTTTTCACCCTCCCACGTGGACATGGAAGTATTAGAAAACTAGGGTAAAATTGAAAATAAGCTTTCATGCAAAATGCTGTCTTACAATGATCAATGAAACAATATTGAGAAAGCATGTTTGTGCATTCAGACCTTTCCAAATACTTTTTATAACTCACAACTGTTTCAAACAAAGTTATGTTATTTTAAAAATTCTAGCAGTATGCACTCAAAATTTGTATATACAGTAAAATACATTTATTGTTGGCCTTCATTATTCTGCTGTACTTAGCTACATTACAGAGAATTATATTTAGGCATATTCACCTTCCATACTTTTTTCTTCTGGACATAGTAATTTCCTCCGTACCTGCATAATTACACAGTATTTCTGGTATATAAACATCTTTGTTTACAAGTCAGGAACATTGAGAAGATTTATTTTCAACTTTTTTATTTTTTCAGTTGTCGTTATAGTCTGACAAGACAAAAATACACCTTAGTGCACAATGCATCTTTATTTCTGATACTAGGCTTATCCATCAGATTTCACAAGCAAATTATACATATATATTGTATACATACATACACACATATAAAAAATAATTTCATAAACATGCAGAATTTAGACTGTTGTTTGGAAAGGACTTCTGGAAGACCCTAGTCCAACTGACACATTGAAGAGGGACTGTCACCAGCTGTTGATCAAACCACCCAAAGCTTTGCCTAGCTGAATCTTGAAAACTTCCAAAGGTGGAAATTCAGCCACTTTTGGGGTACCTGTTTGGTGTTGTATTGCCTTCCCAGTAGAGAAAGGAATTTTTTTATCTGTTTGTTTGTTTTTCCCTAATGTCCAATCTGAACTGTGTAAGACAGTATTTGTCACCATTACCCTTGTTATATTGTCTGCCACCACTGAGGAGTCTTTTGCTTCATCATTGCAATGGGATCACACTGTCTCGTATTCAACCTGGCAACCTTCAGCTGTCCTTTCCAGCTCATGAATGCAGACTCCAACCTGCACGTGCATATTACGCTGTATTTAAGTTCTGTAAGACCCATGTGAGTGTTTTTCCTACTAAAAAATTGTTTGCTTTTCTTTCCTCAGAGTGATGTTATCCGCAAACCACAAGGGCAGATGGAGCTGAATTCCTCATGCCAAATTGTCAGAGGTGAAGGGTCCCAAACATTCCAAGTAAGTGTTGCTTTTTCATCCTGCAGATATCCACACACTCGGTGGCTGGGTGAGAGCACACTTACTTCAGGCTGAATGGTACTGTATGTCTCAATTGATATGAGCTAACTTTATCTGGCCCCTGTGTGTGGAAGTGTGAAGTGTGTGGAGTATGTGGAAGTGTGGAGTGTGTGGAAGATAACTTCCT